CCACTTCCGCCCCAGCCCGGGATTGAACTCTCGACCTTCGGAATCTGTCTCCTAGCAGTGCAGGAACAGCGCGCTAGACCGCTCGGCTATCTAGGCAAGTCAAAAAAACTTGCTTTCGATGCCGATGGAATTCTCGCGGTGCTGCCCTACACTACACGGTCATTGAGAATAGAAGTGAGATACAGTTATTTGGACATTAGTTTTAACAGAGGATTGTCACCAATACATGTTGTAATGAAATTAAGTATTATTTATAAAGCACATTTTACAACAACTCTTAAACTAACATAACTGCCCTAAGTGAAGAAATATTAATATAGAAAGCACAAAGAAATTCACTTTTACATGGATACCCACTTCCGCCCCAGCCCGGGGTTGAACTCTCAACCTTCGGAATCTGTCTCCTAGCAGTGCAGGAACAGCGCGCTAGACCGCTCGGCTATCTAGGCAAGTCAAAAAAAACATGCTTTCAATGCCGATGGAATTCTCGCGGCGCTGCCCTACACTACACGGTCATTGAGAATAGAAGTGAGATACAGTTATTTGGACATTAGTTTTAACAGAGGATTGTTACCAATACATGTTGTAATGAAATTAATTATTATTTATAAAGCACATTTTACAACAACTCTTAAACTAACATAACATAGAGTTGTTGTAAAATGTGCGCTGTTCCTGCACTGCTAGGAGACAGATTCCGAAGGTCGAGAGTTCAACCCGGGCTGGGGCGGAAGTGGGTATCCATGTAAAAGTGAATTTCTTTGTGCTTTCTATATTAATATTTCTTCACTTAGGGCAGTTATGTTAGTTTAAGAGTTGTTGTAAAATGTGCTTTATATATATATATATATATATATATATATATATATATATATATATATATATATATATATATATATATATATATATATATATATATATATATATATATATATATATATATTGTTTTAATTAATCAACTTGAGATGAATTTCATCAAGGCGCATTTATAATATTTATGCTTTCTTTGTTATTCATTATATAGTAAAGAAAATACTTAAGGTGTTTGGCTTCTGACATTAAAAATAATTGAAAATGATTTTTTTCTTTTTTAATTGTAAGAATAAACATAATAAATTATTTTAAGCCAGAAAAATGCATATGAATATGATTTAATTTTCAAGCCATAGGTGTTCCTGACAAAGGGAGGTAATTCTCTCATTTTAGTAAAGAAAAAGACCAAATTTGTGTCCAACATATTTAATATTTATTTTGAACTATGAAATGTTTTCAAATCATTCCAACCTTTTGCTATCTTTTAAAAGTAGTCATAGGGAATATAAATATTGATAAAATAATAATGATAATTGATAGAAGATAAAATTTAATTCTTATCAAAAAGCACACACCCTCATACAAAAAAATGCCTTTTTTTCCTTTCACAGGGCTTATAAAATGATCTTGGAAAATAAATTAGAAATAATTAACAAGTATTTTTTTTTCTATATATTTGTTACTTAGATGAAGTGCTTTCAAATGGTGTAAAAAATTGTATATCAATATGAGTTACTTTTAAAGATATTTTAACTTGAATTTCCTCTGACCCATTTTTCTCAAATTTTGACCAGAGGAAATTCGGATTGATTCTGTTTGCCTCTTCCATGATTTTGGGGGATTTTCTATTTGCCTAAATGAATAAGTGTATTGAAACTCAATCTTTTTCTTTAAAAGAAAAGGGACATTTCATTTTTTGGGGGACTATTTAAGACTTAGGGGAAAGAGGGGAGGGGGGGGTTAATATCTATTTTCATGTCCACTCACATTACCTGAGGATAATTCTTTAATAGTTTGACTAATCATGGCTTTGCCTGTTCTGAGTTGAGAGAATTTTACAGACATTTCAAATATTTTTCTATGCATACTTTGCTCCACTTGTGGCCCATCCTTCCCCCAGGAATGATTGAATATAGGGTATGTAATGAAGCTAAATTTCACGTAAATGTCATCTTTTCTTCAGTGGTTCTTCAGAAGATTTTTGAATAATGCCACCAAAATTCTTAATTATCCCCCACTTCAAGAGGGCGAGACACTTCCTATGAACAAAGTTAAATCCCCTTAATTGAAATTGGGCCAGTTGGTCTTTCAAAGAAATAAAATATATCAAACTTTACACACCCCAGACAAAAGACCGATTGCCAGACAATCTTTGATCAGAAAAGCTCACTCGGGCTTCCGTGTCAGGTGAGCTAAAAACCACCACATAGTAATCATTTCACTATAAACGTTTCACAGCAAAATTCCAGTTATTGAAAATGAAGGGAATAAAAAAAAGACTAAATGAATGTTTTGAACTACTAGTTGTACCAATAACAGCTAGTTTAATTTGCGTCATGCAATGTAAATCTCTCTTGATTTCATTGTATCAAACAAAATGTTCTTTATTCAAGATGAAAAATGATCAACTATTTAACTTTATTCAGATCCATGTTCCTTGTGATAGAGATCTATCAAATCGTTACCTTTACAAGTAACATACAACATTTTTATATACTGTAAACATTAGATTTTTTGTGCCTTTGACAGAAAACTGCTGTTGCTATATCAAGAACATCGCTATTTTTATGACCTGCGTATTTATAAGTACACAATAAAAATTTTGCTAGAAATCAAACCTAGCCCGATTGTTGAAAAATAGATTACTGCCAAGTATAGGTCATACACAATATTAAACATTTACAGAATTTCCTTTCATATTCATTTGTGCATGTTTCAATTTAATATGCACATAGTCTTCTTCAATAAATATCAATGAACACCTTTTAATTTTTCATGTATGCTCAAAATATGGGTAATGAAAATAAATTGTTGTCAATTTCTAAATAAGGATTTATTTTGAATGGAAAGAAAATGTTTTGTTCAACTACAAACTACCTATAACAATAAACATTGAAAAAAACAATAGTACATGGCATAATTATACCCCTGCTCTGAAGCACAGGGTTTATAATGTTTTTCTTTCTACACTTGTGTGTCTTTCTGTCAGTAACAAATTTTTGTCCAATTTTTCTCAGCAATCACTCATCATGCTCAATTGCTCATCACAGATGCTTTAAGTTTTAGCACACTCTTTCTTTAGCCATGCCGTATGTTGGAATTGGTTTTAGACGAATCTGATGTCAACTTCCTGTTTATCTGTGCATCTGTCTGTACCACAAATAATAAATTTTTGTCAGTTTTCTCCACAACTACTCATCACAGTTGGAATTGGTTTTAGACGAATCTGATGTCAACTTCCTGTTTATCTGTGCATCTGTCTGTACCACAAATAACAAATTTTTGTCACAGTTTTCTCCACAACTACTCATCACAGTTGGAATTGGTTTTAGACGAATCTGATTTCAACTTCCTGTTTATCTGTGCATCTGTCTGTACCACAAATAATAAATTTTTGTCACAGTTTTCTCCACAACTACTCATCACAGATGCTTGAAATTTTTTAGACATGAAATATGGTTGGATTCATTTTTGTACGAATCCATTGTCAATTAACTTTGTTTATTCCTGTCTGTCCATATTCACATCAGAGTGAGGGTATTACTAGTGAGCACTGGCTCACAGAAATCAAACAAACAAACAAACAAACAACCAAACAAACAATAACATAGTTACATACAAAGAACATCATACAACTGCGTTACTGCTCAGATCTGAGAAAATCTGCAACAGAATCAATGATTTTTCTAGATTTTGTCACACGCACACTGTTATCTGTTATCTCTGTCAGCACATCCTGTACTCCCTCCCTACCATTTCTGCGATAAGCCAGTTGTAAGTGTGATAAGGAGAGTCCACTGCTGGCAATCTTATTTCCCATTCCATTCGAAATCACCTTTTGGTCCAATAAAGGCTTTAGTGTGCTCATTAGACTTTTTGTTGTGTTCTTGTGATGGAATATGGCAAAGGCAGAGTTTGAAGTGAAAGATGCAGCAAGTTTGACTTCAGGGGAAGGTCCTGTATGGTCCAACAATCTCTTCAAGGCTAAGACATCCTGTAATGAGTCATGCGCACTGTATTTGTCTTGTAGAATTTCTTCGAAGAGGTGTAACTGTGAGTATGATGAAAGGTTTGGATGCGAAATTTTGAAAAGAGGTAAGGTATCAATGAAACCAATGACTGCAGATGAGAATGCCTCCAAAATGTTTAATTTACTCAAAATGTTGAACAGCACAGGAAGGTCAAACACTTTGGAGTTGTGTCCAACTAGAACAGCATCTGACTCCGATTTCTTCATGAAGTCGATAAACTGGATCAGTGCATCCTTAATGCTGACTGTCTCAACTTCCTCATCATTGTGGTACATTTTATTGTTGACTACTTTTATTCCAGTAATTTCTGTAGCTTTTGAGGACATTGGTTTTTCTGGAATGATGTATTTGTTGAAAACCTCATCATTTCTAACTGCAGACAACTGCACAATATGAGAATCCCTTGCTGAAAATAAAAAACAAATAATTTAATTTTGATTGTAACGCATCATTTGATTGGATAAAAAATTAATCTAAATTGTATAATCTGGTTTGCTTACGTCACAATGACTTACATCAAATTGTATCAATCCGCTTGACGTTACGTTTAAAATATGAACTATTTGAAGGCGTTATAAAGAGAAAATTTGTCTTGTTTTATATTCTTGATGATTGAAAATTAAATCATAAGGAGTGAATTAAATGGCAACCCAAATTATACTGCTACAACCTGGGTTGGAGCAGTTTACGCTTTTTTATAAACCGCTTTGAGGTTTAGAAAGCGTAAACTGCCCCAACCCAGGTAATACAGTATAATTTGGGTTGCTATTTAATTCATTCCTTAAGTAAATTCAAGTTTTTAAAATTAAAAGCATTAAAAAAAATACATACAAAAATTGATATATTGTAAATGTATTATATTTAGCATGTATGATATTTGGCAGAAATTGACTTTTGAATAAGTAAGCGTAGATTTGATTTAGCGCATTTCTTCATTTTCTTCTTTATGTGTATATGTGCAAGACATTTAGCGTTGTACTTGATTTAGCGGTTGCTGCGTTTCGCCAAATCCGCTATTAGAATACACAGCCAAATGTAATCCGTTTACAGTATGCATGATTTAAAAAATTTTGAAACATTATAATAATAGTAACCCTCTTCCCCAAGACTTAACTCCTTCAAAGATGCTTGAATTCTTTCAGAATATGCAATTTCTTTTTAATCAGTGTCCTCAGAAGGAAGGGTAAAGTTTTGAAAGATATAAAACATGCTCAACTACTTGTACCAATACCGGAATTATGCAAGAGTCTCTATTTCTATTCGTTTTCTATGATAACTCTAGTATTATTCCTTCAAAATGCATACAAAAGAAATACCGGAAAAGGGCCATAACCATCAGCATTGACTTAACATTTAAATCTAGGTTCTTACCGAGTCCAGTAGTTTCCAAATCAAAATAGATCTCTTCAGCATTTAACAGCTGACTTGAAGGGAGATGATCATACTTTGGAATTGTTTTTGGAGCTGGAATTTCAACGATGTCAGAGGCCTGCTGGAGATCACATCCTGTTAAATAACTGATGCCTTCCCTTGTTTCTTTTGTAGAAATACTTTGAATTCTGTAAAGAAGATGTATACTGTAAAACAAATGATTCTAAACTGAGGTCTTACAAAAGGCCTAGCAAAATAAACAATCACCTAATGTACAGCTAATAAATTAGGAGTTGTAAATAAATGAAAATCCTGATATTAATTCCCACTTAAATTCATACTTATCAGCATTCACTTGTTCTTGGTTTATTTTCATTTTTGAGGTTGACAAAAGGTTTTTTACACCTGACAAATGACAATCAAAGTATACTAGTACGTACTTCCTGGCTTTCAATTCTCTCCTTCTCCTTTTAAATTTCTGTGTCACTGAAATGGCCTTCTGTCGCTTTCTTTGTAAATCCCTCAGAATGCACTGTCGTCGAGTATAGTAGCCAGGAGAGAGGCCCAATTTCTTGTTAACCTTTAATAAGGATAAAAGAATCTATTATGTACAACTACAATGTACATACATATACAATACAATCTGCTTTTGATTAAAATTTGCAGAATTTTCAAATGTAAGAGATAACTTGAGTGGTTCAACTCAGATATACAATACAATCTGCTTTTGATTAAAATTTGCAGAATTTTCAAATGTAAGAGATAACTTGAGTGGTTCAACTCAGATATGACACAATAAGCATGAAAAAATAAAAATTTACAAACCTTTACAAGATATCTGTGTCCAACATTTTTCTGGGCTACACATGCAGCAACTCTGTATCTGAGGCTTGAAGAAGAGCTGTAATGATGGGTCTTTGGGGCTTTTGCAGACACCATTCTGTGAAAACTCTCATTCGACTGTGTGCTTCCTAAGCATGAAAGACGATCAGAATGACTTGCATATGAACTGAAGACTTCTTTCAGATCATCCTGAAGGAACCTATCTTTCAGGGGTTTTCCATGTGGAAGTGACTTGTACCTCAGGTTAGGGTTGTTAATGAAGTTGCACCACCTTGAGGAGCAGTGTTGGTGATCTCCAAATATGTGTAATGGAATTGATGAAAGGTCTTCTTTGATTTGAGAAGCATTTCCTTTTCCCTGTGCTATGGAGTAACTGAAGCATTTCTGAATGTACTTTATCACAGACAAAGTCAGAGATGAATGTTTTTTCTTCAAGGTAAACAAAGAGTTTGTAAACAGTTTCTTTAGATGATTTTTATCAGACAACTTCTTAATATCAGCATTGACATTAGCTTTCAGTCTTGCAATAGTGGTAGAGTCCTCATCTCCAATGATTCCATCAATGGTTATTCCTTTACTTTTCTGTAGATCTTGGACCATCTCAATAACCATATCTGCCTCCATGGCCTTTGAACTACCCTCCCAATTCTTTGAGCACTCATGGGCTGCTGGATTCTTGTTGGTTGATTCAGCTACACTGCATACTCTGCAATTCTTAGACCTCAGAGAGTATGACAATACTTTGTCGGAGAGAGGACCAACCATGGAACAATGACCTGAAAAATTACAAATTAGAAAAACTGTATAACTTATAGATGTATTCGTTGTTTTTATTAAAGCATTTTTCATGCATTTCTTAACTTGATAAAATGTATGTCTTAATACTTTGGCAAGGAAAATCAAACTCGATCACTGATGTTACATGTATGCATTTGGTAATAACCTTTAACCCCTTTAGTCAGCAATGAACCTGTGCGTCCAGTGCACTATAGCATAATTACATGTAGGTCAAATATTTATTTTTCATGAGGGGTGCTGTATAATTAATGCAAATCGTTTAACTTTAAAAAAGTAAACAGTTGCTATAAAACGTGTTTGCAGGATGCAATAGGGACCAAATTCCTACTTCTTTGAAGTTAGTGTTCTAAGTATTGACAATGCTTTGGTAAATAATGTTTTTAATAAGTGTCGTTAAAAATTGGTTGCGTGCCATAGAGCGATTAGCGAATACGCTTACTGTGTAAAATCACCTAATATTTTAATATTTTGATTTGACTCATTATGACTCTTAATGATTTTTCTCCTATATATATTCCCGTGTAAACATTATATCCTTTTTTGGCTCCATTATCCCACCTTGGGTCCATATTTCGAACAAAACTGAATATGCTTTACCTGCATGAGCAACATAACTATTCATGGCTGTTCTTTAGAAGAATATTTGACAGTTGAACTTTGAGATATGTGTCTTTCTAAATTTACTGCATCTGTTTGCATACATATTTAATGGAATCAAGTCCTAAGCAAACTTAATGCATAGTTTATGTTGGGCACGAAGTAAAGTAATCACTCTAATCATCAATATTTTTTTTTATTTTCCTAAAATTTGTCTACTGTAGAAGCATAAATTTTCGTGGGCATAAAATTTTGTTGCTTTGACATCAAAAATAATCTCGTCGTTGTTTTAAAACTAACCCTAGGTCTAAAAAAAATATGTTTGTTTCCTGTAACCCGACCGACCCATTCAAATTACCCCCGGGTGAATTTTTTTTCTGACAAATGGCAAAACTTCGTTTGATCAATCAGCTGATTCCATTTATTAAAAAAAGAAAATTAGCTTGTAGCTTAACTTGAGACATAAAATATGTCAACCTAGTTTACATTTAAGTTTGATTAGTTATAAAGAGTAATCATTATTATAACAACAATTTCCCCCTACAACTTTCTGAAGATCGTTTTCTGCCGCTAGGCAGCCATTTTGGATGCCATGTTGGATGTCCACTGTAAATATGACACCTGGTATATTGAGTCCAGGGATGTTTGACAATTCATAAGAAAAAAAAAATCCCGACCTACCGACCCTTAATTTTTTTGGAATGTTACAGGAAACAAACATATTTTTTTTAAAGCCCTATTCAATATATAGTCATATAAAATTTCGTGTGGGATTTAATTTTGTTGAATTTTGTTAACGGAATAAACAAAATTTAATCCCCCCGAATATTTGTGCTTTTACAGTATTTTTACCTGATAAACTATCATATGTCTTTCCGCTACCCCGTTTTTGCCATCCAGCATCTACAGCAACAACTAGTCCATTTTCGTTCATCTCTCTGAAAAATAGTTAAATAACAGACATCAGTTATTAACTGTGAACCTGTCTCCTTTAGAACACCCCCTAATGTGCATAACATTCTGCATATTTATCAACACAAATTATACTGTACATGACTAAACCTTATATTTATCAGTATATCAGATTCTATTAACTTGATCACTATCAATTATTATTAGGTATTCCCTATGATTTTCATTTGGGGATCAAAACTAAAACACGAGGCTCTTGGGGCTTGGGCCACAATACTCTAGGAAGTCACTGTCTCTGTCCAATCTAATTAAAATTATTTGTTAGATCCACTTGCATACTCGCTACACAAACATCTAACAACATCTCATTGAGGGTCACGTCAGAGGTCAAATTCTAATCAACCAATCAAATTGTCTCTTGCAAAATCATTGTTTATTTGTTGACGTAATTGAAGAAAATAAGTCTAGGGTTGTTCCGAATTTGAACTCTGAGTGACCCTCTATAGGATGTTGTTAGATGCTAGTGTAGCAATTATGCGAGCAGATCTAACATCTAATTTTGATTAGACTGTGTCTCTGTCACTCTTCAATTTTTTTTCTTCAATCAAATTTTCCTTTTTTAATTCATTCTAGGAATGAATTTAATAGCTACCCAAGTTATACTGTATATCCTGGGTTGTGCCAGTTTTGGCTTTCTATACAGCGAGGCTTTCATTTCAAAGCAGGTTACACTATTATAACTTGGATAACTATGAAGTTAATTCCTTATAATTTAATTCTCCATCAATAAGTAAAGAAAATAAGACAATTTTTCCTTCAAAAATGCATGCAGTTAGTACATACATGTATCTTATATGTAAAATTAAATGGGTTGTTATGTTTGTGACATACATGTTAGTAATTGTGACTTAACCAACACAGGTTATACCATATGACCACTACACATGTATGCTGGACAACCATTGATCTGATCAAAAAAGCTCTATTGCGCCTTTGGCTCATTTGAGCTAAATAGTGAGATTTAAACTGAATTTATATTGTTTACACACTCATTCATCATTTCCAGTTCCTTCTGCAAAGCATCAGACATAGACTCTGCAGCAATATCTTCAACAGCTCTGCCTATCTCTTTCTGTCTTTTGTCCAGCATGGCATGGCTTACAGGTGGTATATTCAGCTCAGAAAGGAGACTGTTGACTTGCGTTGCACCAATACCAACATGTACAATTGCTGTAAATACAAATTCATAAATGTAAAAAAAAAATCAATCTAATCACTTAAAACAAGAAGCTTGTGAAATACAACACTCACCTTAGTCTCATTTATTTTCTCTCTTTATTACCAGAAATTAAAAATAGAACCCATACTTTTAACAAACTAAACCCCTAGGGGTAATGGCAACAAAACTTGAATTGATCTACATTAGGATGATTCAATATCAATATGATTAATACAGTAATAAGGCTTTGCTGTTCTACAGAGAATTTTTTCCATCTGAATAGTCAAGTGGTTTAGAGAACAAATCAAAAAAAGTCCCATTCTAACTTGTTATACCCTTTCTATGATGTGAATATAGGTTCTTTTGTGAATATACAGGCAGACACATGGATAAATAGGAAGCAGACATTGGATTTCTATAAAAGTGAATTCCATCATATGGCATATTGCCAAAACAAGGTGTGACTGTGTGGTAAAACACAAGAGTAAAACAGTATACCAGTACCCACTTCCCTCTCCTTTAAAGCATATTTTGAAAAGTTGACAGACAGATAAATGGAAAAAGATCAGAAAGCTGAAATGAGCCTCTGGCTTCAATAAGTTAAAAATAGCTTGCCTTCTCATCAAGTTTTTATTCTGAATTAAACATTATCAGGGGCGGATCCAGGAATTGAAGTTAGACGGGCAGGGTTCGACATTAACGTTAGTCCGTTAGTCCCAGACTAATACATTTTCATTTGGACTAATAAAAGTTGTGGCGTATTAGTCCGAATGGACTAATAAAGTTTTCTGGGGGAAAAAATTACCGAAGTTCTCGACAACTTTCACTGGAACCCTTAGCAAAAACAAATGCTATATTTGCATTGATTTTTGATTTTATTTGTCTTGAAAATACATTGAACATTGGTTATGCATTTATTTTTGATTGAATCCAATTCAAAAATCTTCAGACCATTGATTTTGGAATGATTGAAATTTGATTTTTTCAATAAATGTTGTTTCAATGCATTTATTTTGCATTTATTTTGAATTTATATGATGTCATACCAATAACAAATTACACATGAAGTGATCTCTTTGGTAAATCCATGATTGAATTTGTATTTATTTTCTGAAGCATTGATTCAGAAATAAATGGTAGCTTTATCAGCTGTGTATATTGCTGGTTATATTAGTGCTGACCAGCTGTAAACATATCCAGGGAGAGGCTGATAAAAATCACGTGATTTCTACGTCACTTTATCAGCCATTTCAAATTCTGCTGGCGCTGCATCCAGACAAGCTAGAAGCCATGATGTACTTTGATGGAAATGATCAACATTTTGTTGTGTTCTTCCCTGTGGACTAAACTATTCATATTATGGCAAAAAGTTGTGTAGAATCTAAAAATGATGAAGACAGCTAGTGTTGTTTTGTGACAGACAAGTGATATTGAAGGTGATGAAAAGATGGTGCTGTTGAAGTAGATGCCATACAAATAATGGATACATTGTTTTTCGGCACTTAAATTTTAGCATTATTTTACCCATCATTACACATTCTGTGGAATTTGGAATGAAATTAAACATTTTAGGGATTATGATTTATTATGACTGCTGGTGTCCACTGCTGAGCAGATAGTGTAACTATAAACTAATTAGTCTACACTACAGAATTACTAATTATGTACCAAACCTCGAAACACCATGCAGTCTTGCATTTGATTCATTTATTTATCAAATGATAAAATCATTTTTTTTATAGAGAATAATGTTCAATAAATTTAAAGCAGTCTATAGTTAAATGGAAAAAAAAGATTTAACTAATGCAGTTCCACAAAAACTACCAATAACAGTCCAGAAAGTGAGAAACTTATTTGCTGAGTAAAATAGAAATGGAATTCAAGGAAGTGTACTTCAAATTGTGCCTTTGTGATATGTGATTAATGTATGGAACTATTACTGTTATTGTGTCAGTGATTTTTGGGTGTTATTCATGTCTCACACACATTCAACAAATATTGGTCAAAATAAAACATGGATTATTTCATGTAAAACGCTGGATATTGTTTGCATTATGTTTATTACAAAAAAATGTATTAAAATTTTTCTGTGATGTCACCTTGAAATGCTTCATAAATTTGTTTTGCATTGATTTTGCATTTTTCTGTGATGTTTAATTATATTTTTGCAAAATAAATCAAAATCCAATGGACTACAATTTAAAATTGCAAATCAAAAAACAATGAAAATGTGGACAAAATAAATCAAAATTCAATCAATTTGATTTTGCTAAGGGAAAACTAGTCCGGCGGAAAGTTAGACCATTCGGCACGACCATTGGAATGAAATTAAACATTTTAAAATGAAAGATGTCGGGCATTTGGATGTCGTAATCATTTATAGAGAATAATGAGATCGGGAACACGATCCTAGTTCCTGATCAGGCAATTTCAACAAATATTGGTATAAAACATTTCATGTAAACGCATGCTTTGTTTATTACAAAAAAAGTATAAAAAGTACCTTGAAATGTAAATTCTATTGTTTAATTATATTTTTGACGGACTCATAAAATTGCCTGTGGACTAATAAAATTAAAGATGCACTAGTCCGGCTAGACCAAGGGGTTCAGGCAGGGGGGGCCGCCTTGAGGCAAAGCCCTGGTGGGGGCCAAGGGGGCGAAGCCCCCCGAAGCTCTTGGATTCTAGAGGTTTTGTAGGGTAAAAATGAGGTCTACCGAGTAGACATCAGAAACATTTCCTCGACAAAACTATGTTTTATGCTAACTTTGACAATTTCAGGGGGGGGGGGGTGCACGCCGGGTGTGCCCCCCCTTAAATCCGCCACTGATTACATCAATTTATAGATACATATACCTATTTACTAGCTATGAGGACAAAAGCAAGTTTATTGTCCCCCAAGACAGCAACAATTTCTCAAGGTGCGTCCAAGTTGCTGTTGAGGGGGACAACAAACTTGCTTATATTGGAATATACAGGTAAAACTCAATCAGGCTCTTGTGACTTGACAATAATAAATATACATGTAACTGATGTAGGGGATGTGTACGTTAAACTTCTTACCTGCTGATAGCTTTGTATTTACATCCCACACTCTTCCATGTTTTTTCCCCGTTTTTACATGGTTAATATGATTACACTTTGTATTGCTGCAACAGACCTGAAATGTTAATGTAAAATCAATGAATCCCTAATTACAGGTCACTGTTCTAAATTCATTCACCATTAATGAAATCAAATGCTTGGGAAAAAAGAATTTAAATATGCATTACTTCATATTACTTCAAAGAAAAAAATGTAACATCTTTCAAAACTAAAAATATGGATATATGGAATACTGCCTGTTTTATATGGAGAAAAATTCAAGGAAAAACCTTTCAAGGTTGTTTTTATACAAACTGTGCAAAAATTGGTGAGTTCATACCTTTAACAAAGAAGCTAAACCATATGTCAACACAGAAATAGTGTGTGAAAGTTGTAATGGTAAGCCACATTTACAACATCCCCGCAAGCCCTCAGCTAACACTCCAAGTTCTACTACTCTCCTCCCCTCCTTCCAATCCTCAGATGTAGTCACTTCTTCCCCATCCACCATCTCCTCTCTTTCCAGTATATTCAAATTTGGCAATTCTATGAATAATGAATAAAAATTATCACCATTACACATTCTTTATTATCTACTGTAACACATCCTGACTAGTTTACTGTTTAGATACACTTACTAAATTCCAAGAACCAGTTTTCAAAATAATTCATAGTGCCAACATATTTTTCCATATACCGATATTTCTCAAGATATTCTGAAATCAATCTAAAATATGATCTACTTTCTTTTACTCTACATTTGCTTGGGCCCCTGGTCATTCACATGTAAACAGACGGTGTATGAGGTGCAGCGAAGAGTTGCATAGCATTTGCAAGATCTTTCAACATTTTAAAGTTGATTTCTTACTCCAGATTGTAAGGTTAAGTAGTCTGTATTAATAAGTTAAAATCTGCATCAACAACTACACCGCCATTTTGATTATGAATGTAAAAGAAGCTATATGGTTGAACAATTTTTTCCCGTAATGCATTATCATGATTATATACCTTTCTATTTTCAAAACAATTAGACTGCTAACATTTTGTTTGTGACTTAGTAAGATCATATGATCCAATTAAAGAAAAATCATGTAAATCTCAAATTCAAATGAGCAAATATTCATTGAGTTTAGAATAGACTTTGGAGAAAATTTGTCCTGTCGTTCCCGCTTAACAATTAGTGTTGGGCCCATTGGCAAGCTGATGTCAATTTAAAAAATTCAGGTCAATTTCGGAATTGATTTCATAATATCTTAAGAAGTATAAGGAATTATGGAATGAAATTTGAAGGAATGAAGATTGTTTATATATGGATAAAAAGTAAATTTGTAAAGCATTCAATTTAAAAGAATTTTATTGGTGAAAGTAGGTACCCTATGAAAAGAGTTCCATACCTTTATTTTTTTTTTAACACCTCAATTTTTTTTCTAAGTGATCTAAAGGCCTGTGGGTCAAATGAGTATATCTTTCATCACGTGCAGTGTATTAAAATAAAATACAGTAATTATCTTTGATTAGTATTGTCATGTAAGGTAAGACATCAGCAAATGTAATTTTTTTTTGTAACAGCTAGGCCTAGTATATATATATATATTATTGAAATCCACATATAACATCATGTATAGTTAAATTTATTATTATCAAATATGATTCAAATTTCCATGTTGCACTTTGATTACAATAGGCCATGTGGTTTTCAATAAAATACCCCCCCCCCCCCCCAAAAAAAAATTATATTTTTAAAACTTTGTTGTCAATCAGATGAAAACTTGTTTTTATCAAAATATATCTTTGAAAATTCAATTATATACTTGATAAAAACAAGTTTTCAATGTCTTAGTTATGTCATGTTGTTTTTCAATGAAATATTGAGAAAAATTCAATATCTTCTCTTTTGGTGCACATCTTTAACTACTATAATTTTTTTTTTTAAATAGCTACACGTAGTCATAGTTCAAAAAGTCTTTAGATTGGACCTGGTATATAAAATGAACATCAACAAATTCATGTACCTCCCTTTAATATTTCTAATAGACCTATGTGTAATCATGGTAATTTAGATGCAGATATGAAAACGAGTCTTTTAGATTACGTATTTTACATGTACAAACCGTGATCGTGATCAACGCTGACAGGGGTTGCACTGGCGGAGTAATTGTGGTCTGTAAGGATAGCTCCCCTAATCCATCGAGTCAATTGCCCTGCAGATACTTTATCATATCTCTCCTTCTGCTTTTTCGAGACGAACCCATGGCGTCTGTACTTTGGTTTCACCATCTCAACCAAAGTTACCGACTTCTCGTCTGCTTTTTGTTTACATTATCGTAATCCGGTTCACATCCGCGAAATGTAAAATGCTTATTATATGTTTGTTTTCTGGCATAAAAAATCTTTATAATGTTACTTTCTATGGATGATGATTATAATTATTTGTAGAAACTATTAATTCTCTGCCGTATTGAATTCTTTATTATAACGACATTCAGACCAATTTCCGGCAGTTCGAGTTGCGCGGTGAATTCAATTTCGTCAGAAGCGAAACATAATGGTGGCGATCTTCGAATTTCTATAGTAAATTATACGTTGTGTTAGAGTCATATAACCCTGATGAAATTTTAACGAAGGTTGTCAATTACGTCGTGCAAAATGTGAAACATGGAGACGACAAATTTAGAGTAAATATTGCAAAAGTATACTTCTTTTCAATAAAAGGGTGCTTACTACTACTAGGAGACTGAATCGAACTCCAGGGGACCATGTATATTGTTATACCTTTAGAAATTTGTTCCTACACAAATTTATACGGAAAAAAGTCTAACATTTCTAATGTTTTACTGAGCGGGCATAAAAAATCGATGTTGGACCACAGTGAGATGTTGGACCGGTCGATGAGATGTTGGGCCGCTTACGTCACAAAATCGGCGGAGCTTAATCTCATTTTCATTCGTTGGCGTTCAACAGTGACGAACCTGCTGTTACACCACGTGCAGAGAAGACAGTACAAAATACATGTATGTCCAAAAAAAAAAAATAAAATAAAAGGTATAACAAAACACTTATTGACTGAGTTCTCGGGCAAAATGACTTTTGTCAACGGCCTCAGGCAGACAATTTGGTTCTTGGGTCCGACAAAAGGCATTTTGCCCTCGAACTCAGTCAATAAATGTATAATGTTCACTTCACATATTATGATTAGATCGATCATTTTTCGTTATCTCTGACAATTTAATGATAAATTTAAAAATAGGACAAAATCTTCAATCTACATCTGAAATCTACCAGTTTCAAATAAACCATGAAAGTATCTGTGCTCTTTCTAACACCTTAATTATATTTATTTCAGTCCATGAACTTGTTCAATATCACTAGTATTGTGTCCCTCCCACACCTCGCAACCGTTATTCAATGTGCTTGCAACATCAGTAAGGGTTTTTTCTCTGTTGACGATTTAACTCACCTGTTTCAAGAATTGGTGTTGTCTCTCCATCAGTTTCATCTGAAAAGCGCAAAATAAGAATACTAACAGGATTATATTTAAATGATTGTTAAATTTTATTTCCTTTGCTCGTGGCACTACAGCTACCGATAAAACTTACAATTTGAATTTTAATTTGAAGTTTAAATGTTAGTGGATTCCAAGACACAGATCTTGAACTATAGAAGGTGTGAAAGATATTATATTTCATTTGTGTCGTATACTTTAAAATGGATTCATTCTATTGCGATTTTGTTTTTCAAATAATAACTTTTAAATATTCATTTTTTAAATGAAATTGTTCTTTGCTCAAGTTGGAAATGTTTGTGCTTCTTGTTAAGAAATTATTAAATTTCAGTGGAAATGTTACTGTAAAGATAGTAATTTTAAAATTAAATGATCTTTTATTAAGCATTGGTAAAAATCATCATCATTACAGTTTATATAACAAAAGCTTAAGAAAGGACAAAGAATACCTTACTTTCAAAAACACAACTGAAATTGGAAATGAAAGGGTTTTTTTCAAAACATCTAAAAGTTCGCTGACCTTGTGTGGTAATTTCCAAAGTTTTCACATCAGAACTTGAATTGGCAAATGCTGAAAGAAATGACTATTTTGTAAACGTTGAAAGGATAGTTTTAAGCTTATGAACGTTCATCTTATCCATTTCACCGATTTAAAAATAACAAAAGGTACATTTTTCTTCATATGAATATATTGAATATATTATGTATTGATCATTTCTAACGGATTTTGAAAATGTATTTTCATTTAATGATTTATTTCTCATTATGGAATTATTACTCCACCGAATTGACTTTAAATTAAGTAATTTCAATTTTTTTTTGTTTAAAGGAAAATATATATATATATATATATATATATATATATATATATATATATATATATATATATATATAGGGAAAATGTTGTAGAAGTCCATGGTATAGGTTGACACTTCAAAGAAAACATACATATGATAATAAGAATGAGGAAACAAAAGGATTTCCTTAATTATTTTCCCAGAGATTATTTTGATTTCATTCAATATTCACCTTGTTATATTAGTACACTATTTTTCATGTACATTTGGAATTATATAAAACAAAGTAGGTCTACTGGATAATATTCAGAAAATATTATCGCTACTATACCTGTTTCAAAAACGGATACTGTTTCTTTGCTACTTTTCTCTTAAAAAAAATAATAATATTGTTTTAATAAACTTGGGATAGATTCCATCAAGGCACATTGATTACAAGTACTAGTACAAGTTTGTTTCCTTTGTCAATTACTATATAGTAGGGCAAATACACTCCCCCCTACCCCCATATCTGTTTACTAATGCTTTTGTCGAAACAACCTAAAAAGTAACATTGTACTTCTTTTGATTTGGTTTTTTCTTAATATACTTTGTGATAGATTCATATAACGCTGAGGAAATTTATACGAGAGTCGTTCATTAAGCTGTACAAAATGCGATCTAAAAATAACAATGGCACGACAATTTTAGGAAATTTATCTTACAAAAGAGTATTTCTATTCGTTCAAGGGGCGCTTACTCTTCCTAGGCAAGGTTTTTTTCTGTTAACAACTTTACTCACCTGTTTCAAGAATTGGTGTTGTCTCTCCATCAATTTCATCTGAAAAAAGTAAAATAAAATTGTGTTTGCTCTACTCGTGGCACAACGTTTACCACAAAAGATACAATTTGCTTTTAATACTAGTGGATTTATAGATATTGGTATAGAATTCCAGAAATTGTTTAAGATAATTTATTTCATTTGTGTAATTTTCTTATAGATTAATTCTTTTTCTTGCGATTTTTTTCTCAAATTATAGAAGTAGTAATCTTATTTTCTAAAACATAGACTGTTTTGTGCATTTGCAAAAGAGTATCCGGAATGTGAATAGCCAAATGGTTCCGCTTTTTGCAGAAGAAAAAAAGAAATCTATCCATTCCCAGAGAGAGAAAAAACAAATAGAAGATTGAAAATCCTACACTACATTTGAATGGACAGATTGATAGGTTTCCAACTAACACAAATAATTGTTCTTGTCTTTAAAATCAATTTTAAGATGTAGCAAACTGGTATTGTCTGAATTTAGAATGCGTTGCGTTAGGTAATATGTAGGTAATGACGTGTTGTATGTTTACAGAATGAACAGTTGTCCTCTCTCTCTCCTCAAATGGACGCTTAAGGTGGCTGAGTTGAGTTTTTTTAAAAATAAACTACAGTTTCTTAGAAAATACAAAACAAAAAAAGAAACAAAAAAATCGTCCTTCATTTGCAATCGTGTTTAAATACTCATTTTTTAATGCAAATTGTTAATTGTTCAGTATGGTTTCTTTTGAGGAATGAGGTTAACAACTTTGAGAATTTCTTTTAATTTTCTTAATAAAATAATTTTGCTACTTGCATCGAATATCAAATTTCAAATGGAATTGTTACTGCAAGGATTGTGGATTTTTTAAATAAGTGACTTTAATTTAGTATTGGTAGAAGGTTTGTCATAATAATAAATACAGTTTATATAACAAATGTTTAAGAGAGGAGAATACTATATTACTTTCAGAAAGACAACTGAAAATGAAAAGGAAAAAAAGTTATACAATTTGTTTTTTAAAAAAACCTAAAATTTGACTGACCTTGGGTTGTATGTTCCAAAGTTTTCACATCAGAACTTAAATTGGCAAATGCTGAAATAAATGACTATAATGAAAAAGTTGAAAGAACAGTTTTAAGCTTATTATCCATTTCACTGATTTAAAAATACCAAAGGGTACATCTTTTTTTCATATGAATACATTGAATATATTATTAGTATATATTGACCATTTATAACGGATTTTTATTTTATAATTTTAAAAGTTTTATTTTTATTATGCTTTATTTCTCATTATGGAATTACCGTAAAACTGAAAATTTTTGCTGTAGATAAATTTTTAGCTAATTTGCGAGTTCAATGCAATCGCAAAAATATTTTTCTTAAAAATAAATTACCAATAAGAAAATGCACACAAAGCAGTGGTCATTCGCAAAATTTTGAAACGTAAAAATTAATCTACAGCATTTTGACTGGAATTCGCAAAATAAAAATCGACGAAAAAATTTCCACTTTTACGGTATTACTGTAACTAATTGACATCAAATTAAGTAATTTCATTCTTTTCTGTTTAAAGAAAAAAATCAATAAATATTTATTTAAAAAAAACAAATTTGAGTTACCGGTCGTAGCGTTTGGTCGGACTTCATTAATCTGACCCGACGACACTTCAAAGAAAACATAAATATGATAATAAGAAATGAAGAAACAAAAGGATTTCCTCAATTATTTCCCAGAGATCATTTTGATTTCATTCAATATTCACCTTGTTATATTACTACTAATGTACATTAGGAATTATATAAACCAAAATAAGTCTACTGGATAATATTCAGAAAATATTATCGCTAATTTACCTGTTTCAAAAACTGATGCAGTCTCTTGGCTAGTTTCCTCTAAAACAATAATATTGTTTTAATTAACTTGGGATAGATTTCTTCAAGGCACATTGATAACAACTACTAGTATGTTTCCTTTGTCATTTACTATATAGTAATGCAACCCCCCTACCCCCCCCCCCCCCCAAAAAAATAATTGTTTACTAATTTTTTTCAAAACAACTTAAAAAGTAACATTGTACCTGTTTTGATTCGGACTTTTTAAAATATATACTTTGTGATAGATTCATATAAGGCTGAGGAAATTTATACGAGAGTCGTTCATTAAGCTGTCCAAAATGCGATCTAAGAATA